TAGACTCTCCAAATTGTATTTCTAGCCCTGGCAACTTTCTCATTTTAATTGCTACTATATACACTGTAAAATCCTGATAACCTGGAAATATGTTTATGCTTTCTCTGTTGCAAGATCGTTTCCACAAAATACTCTGAACAGCAATAGTCAGGAAGGTTTAAAGCCTTACTTATGCTGGTAGAGTGGAGGAAGGGACTTGGAAACAAGAGAAGACATAGCCAGATTCCTTATTAAAATCTGAAAGATGGTCAGATCCCTGAAGGTCTCTGCTTTTTATGACATATTCATTAGTCTACCACTAAACGATTATAACCACTAAGTGATCATAGCACACGATCTATGGGATGACGATCCCAGCTAAATTCTTACCTGTAATCATTTTGGACAGTCTTCCTTTACAGAACAATATCACACAGAAAGCTAGCAGAATATTGCAAACATGCTCTCAGTTTTATTTCTTCCCTTCTCTTGTGTAGAAATTCTTTCCAGTCTAGTGTAGCAATGCATTCCATTGTAATGCATTTCCTTTGACATCAATTTAGAATCTATTAATCTCCTTTTCAGAGTTGCAAGCAGCATCAATGAACATTAATCAAACACTCCAGAGGTTAATTATGATAAAATAAACCAAGTATTATAAAATTAACTATGTGCACCTTGGTATCTTTCTTTTTAGTTTTCCAAACTGCTAAACATGCAACATTACTTCTATTCTCATAATCAGAATCAATATTTGTAAAAAATTTTAATGGTATCATAGATTAGCCACAATATGGTATTCCTCTATATAGGAAGAGAACTTGTTATTATATTTCCATCTTAAGAATCATAAAATATTTTGCTACCACTTGATTAAGACTATGTAATTTAATTATAGTTCCCACCATCACTGCTCTGCAAGCTAAACTTTGTTATTGCTTCATTTGCTATAATATTGCTTTTTTATAAAAGCATTAATATATTTTGAAACATTCTCATTCTTATGCAAATATAGTTTACTTTTGTTTTTATAATACAAATAAAGTAACTCATCTAAGGTAATGTCTTAAAATTAAGGGGATAGAATTTCAAATTATCTGAAATCATTAACGAATACCTTTATATCTGAGAACTTATGTCTCAAGTAAAACAAAATAATTCTCCATATATATATGTTAGGCATATATATATATGCCTAACAAAGTTCTCAAGTGTCTTCAATTCCTTTACTGACCAAATATATTAAGCTCCCTCTGCTGGTCTAGTCTCTAAGCTATTATATCTCTCCCCATTTTAAAATCCAGCTTTAGTCCCATTTGAGGTAATTATTTGATTCTTGAGAAAGTTCCTCTAGTAGATATTTTTTCTTTAGCTATTGTTTTGAAAATTAAATAATTTAAATTTTAACGTATTTTGTATCTTCTTACACCAAATTTAAAATATATTTATATGCATTTTTTAATAGTACAAACTCAAACTTCTTAACTGTTAAACTCATCCTTTCCCAATGTTTCCTAACTGAACATAGTGCCAACCATTCTCACTTGAGTACAGATTTATTATTCTTTACATATTGTCATCAAATTTTTTCCTATAAATATTATAGAAATTCTAAACTTCCCTATTTCCCTCACATTTGAATTGTATGCCATTATATATAATGAGATTCTCTAAGAACTTGTTCAGGTTCCATTCCAAGTTTACATTCTTCTTAAACAGGCAATGATTTAACAACTATTGGAAACCATAGTTCTTGTGGTTTCTTGAAACAATGAAATAAAATTGGGTTACCAACACAGCCTTGGCGATAGAGGTGCATCTATCCTGCCATTTAAACCTGTGGTGACCAGTGGAGCTCAGGAGTGTTTTTATTGCTTAAGATCTCCACATTAGGTGACACTTAAGTGAAACACTCCTGCAAACATGTGCTGAGTTGTGGATAAGGCTTATATGCTAGGATGAAAGCATTTGTAAGTTGGACTATTTTTTTAAAGCTCATATATACAATATGTATGTGGTAGTTTGGATGTGTATATATAGCGGTATTTAAAAATGGGAAAATTGGCTGGATTTCCTATCCTCAGAGAACAGATGGCTCTCCATCTTGTTACAAGTAAGAGTTAGAGAATTGCTCTGCTATGTGCCTTAAGTCAATATTTGCTCATCGAGCCATTACTTTGCACCAGTTCTTTTTGAATAAAGTATTTTTCCAAAATAAAAACAGCAAAAAAATAGGCGAGCTATTTTGGTATAAGAGTTTTTCAGGTGCCTGAATACAGAGATGTACTGTGGGGTTGGGCAAGAGTATCTGAGTGTCTGCTTTGAGCTCACAGAATTGTCAAACTCTACAGTTTTTCAATTTTTCACACAAATGGTGTTTTCTTTTAAACACTTCGATGATGACAAGGTTTTTTTAATGCTAGTTTATTTTGCTGTTAGAATGACATTTACCTCCTTGAAGTGATTTATCAAATAGATTTCATTGACATTCTATAATTTTAATCCAATTTACCTTCAAATTCTGTCTTTTCAAAAATATTTTGTTTAAATCAGTGGGCATTTAAAGTTTTTTGATTATAGGATCCATAGAGCAGCTATCCACTCTAATATGTTTATCATTAAACATTAACAAGTAGGATAATTCTCAGCACAGAATTGCTCTTAAGTGTATGTTGTGTAATACACACACATACATACACATACACATATTTTGGGTAAGAAAGAGGATTTTTTCCAAGAAGAGAACTTTGATATCATGTCCTTGACACAAGTGGGTAAACTCTGTTCTTCCTACTTTGTTATATGATCTGGTTTTGCAGTTCTGAGTCCTGGTCACTGTCTTAAATTGGTGCTACAGTCTCTAAAATATGAGCTAAATATCTAATTGTACAATCTTATTAATGTTGGCTAATATTGCCCAAATGAACTTGGCTTTTTTATTCAAATCTTCACATGCAATTTTATATTTTTCCTCAAGAAACACTTGGTTTTTCAGCTGTATTGATAGATAAATTAATAAAAATGCTAAAATTTTGTATGGAGAGTTCTCTATGATAAGAAATCAGAGCTCCTATTGTATAATGCTTATG